TGCTCTTCTGCGGCGGGTCTTGCAGAACTTAGCTCCGACCGCATGGACAGTTTCCACGAGCTTGACATTCATATCGTCCACTGCATTGCAATGCTCTAGGCACTGAAAGCAGTTTTGTAACTCGAGCTGAAAGGTTTCGGGATTCTGGATTAGAGCACGAGGGGGAAGGAGCGTTGACTTCAATAGACGAGACCTCTCCAACTTAACATTTAGGTTCAGTGTGCCTCTAACCATTCGGTGATCGCTGCCAGTTTTCACCCTTGCGATCACTGAGACATCACTGAACAGTTGGCGTCTGGTCGTCATAATGAAGTCAACCTCATTTTTTGTCGAACCGTCGGTGCTCGACCAGGTCCACTTCCTGTGGGGCCGCTTCTGGAAGAAAGAGTTCATCATAAAGAGTCCCTCTTTCTCCGTAAAGTCGGCCAGCTGCTGGTCCCTTCGGTTCCGTTGCCCTACTCCAAATTTCCCCACCTTCAGCTCACCGCTTTCTCTTGTGCCTAGTTTTGCATTGAAGTCTCCCATCAACACCGTGTAGTGGGTTTTGGAGGAATGCATGGCTCTGGAAATATCCTCATACATTTCCTCCACCTCCTCATCGGGATGTGCCGAGGTTGGTGCGTAAACCTGTATGACTTTCAGCGAATACCGTTTGGTGATTCTGAGTATCAGGTACGCGACCCTCGTCGACACACTCCCAATCTTTACAACGTTGTTGACGAGAGACTTGTGAACGATAAATCCGACACCTCCTTGGGACAGATGGTCGCCCTCCCGGTGGTAGAACAAGTTGCCGGACTCGAGGATTGCCGTATCCTCCCCCTCTCTTCGGACCTCGGATAATCCAATAATATGCCAGCGCAACTTGTCTACCTCTTCTTCCAGCTCCAGTATCTTCTCGTCAGTCCTCAGAGTGCGTGCGTTATATGTTGCCAGGTCAAGTCGTCGTAGGTGGCAACCGAACCTCCACCGGAGATTCTTGGTTTATTATTTAATAATATATATAAAGAATATTAAAATCTAATTAAGTAATAAAATTAAAACTATGTGTAGCTTAATAATGTAGAATCTGCAAAAGAAAATTGAAAAGTAAAGTTTATAATATTAGCTACCTGCCTGAATTAGGTTGAGCTGTGTTTCAGACAATCACTTACACTATGGGTTTAATAATGTAGGACACTAGATAATTTAAATAATTAAACTACATTCTATAATAAATAAAATAAGTTAATTTATACAAACTTTATTAGAGTTTCTGTGCCTTCGTAATTCAATTTATTCAGAAATTCCCTTACATTTATATTACATTTCTTATAACTGACACTATATATCTTTAGTGATTTGTTGAGCTTGTTATATAGAAATGGTTCTAAAAATATGTAAAAATCTGTCCACAAATGCGTGTTTGGTTTAAGGGTTAACACATACTAAGTCAATTCTTCTCCTGTCTATGGATTTTAAGTTAAATGGAAGTTCGGTATGCTGTTTTAATATGATGTTCAGGATAAACAACTGACGGACCGTTAGTAGTAGATGTAAAATAAGCAGGCCGGCAACAGGAAGCAGAATCAAATTGCGAGACATCTGGTTCTGATAGCCAACGCTACTCTTAAGCATGAGGATTAAGGCAAATCTTCCTGCAATGACGGAGACCTATGTCTAACCGTGGACTCTTACGGGTTGATAATAATGATGATTTTTTAAAATTCTTTTTATATAGAATAAGGGTTACAAACGAGCACACAGTCCACCTAATGGTAAGTGGATGCTTTGGCCCATAAACATCTTCATTTATCCTTGATTAAGAATCATATGCAGATGCGTTGTCACGACAAGCTCGGATGCGTCGTTTCAAATAAAAAGGGTCTCAGGTTCTTTACACTCACGATACGAAACACAAAAGCATTAAACAGCTACTTTACGTTGGTATTCTATGAGAGCGTGGTCCTACCCCGACCGAGTCGACTCATTCGTGCTACAACTTATGTAGATGCAGTGGGGCCTACCACGTAAAAATGCAGTATGATAAATCATTGAAAATTAAAAACAAGTTAAAGTGAAACGCGATAAATGACCGTGCAGTAGAGGTGTAAGAATATCAACTACCACATATGGTCCTAGTTGGTGTCGTAAGAGGCGACAAAAGTACAGAGGTTATAGAGGTTAGTGTTGCAAGAGACAAAAAAAAAAACAGGAGACAAAGAAATAAAATATTGTTGCCAACCTACCTGCCAAGGATGGCTACTATGGCAATCTGTGGGGAGTTCAGCAGTGCACTTTTGATAGGCTGTAATGATAATGATTTCTTATATTTACGCGAACATTGCACATGATTAAAGCTACTTTTACGGATTTTATCGCGTTTATTTTTACTTTTTATTTTTAATTCCCGACGTTTCGGGCGCTTTCCAGCACCCATGGTCACGGGGGACTGAGATGACTGACGTCCCGATGTCATTGTTAAACCCGGAGTACCTTCAGCTTTTTTAATTATTGTTTATGGTCCGATCTATGCAAAATGAACTGACTATGTCCTGAGGTCTTGCAGTGGTATGCTTGGGTTTAATTTTAATTTTATTGATTATAGGATCCCAAGCAGGTGGTAGTACCCAGCCTCCTTCTCTATTGAAATTAGGATGTTTTATATAAACCCAAGCATACCACTGCAAGACCTCAGGACATAGTCAGTTCATTTTGCATAGATCGGACCATAAACAATAATTAAAAAAGCTGAAGGTACTCCGGGTTTAACAATGACATCGGGACGTCAGTCATATCAGTCCCCCGTGACCATGGGTGCTGGAAAGCGCCCGAAACGTCGGGAATTAAAAATAAAAAGTAAAAATAAACGCGATAAAATCCGTAAAAGTAGTTTTAATCAGGCTGTAATGAATTAATGAAAGGTGAAAAATTGTTACGCGGTAGAGCCATGCTGCAGCTATATTAGTAGTATAGCTGTAGCACGAGTGACCGGGGAAGGACCACGCTCTCACAGAATACCAGCGTAATATAGCAGCCTAACGCTGCTGTGTTTCGTATGGTGAGTGTAGAGAACCGGAGACCCTTGTTACTGGAAAGGAGGCATTTCATTCCATCTTAGTCCTCACGAGTGACGCATCTGCATTTTGATTCGTAATCGAGGATAGATGTAGATGTCTATGGGCTACAGCAACCACTTACCATCAGGTGGACTGTGTTTTTTTATAGAAGAGGGGCCAAACGAGCATGCGGCTCATCATCATCATCATCATTACAGCCCTTCACAAGTCCACTGCTGAACATAGGCCTCCCCCAAGTAATGCCACAAAGCACGGTCCTGAGCCACCTGCATCCATCGACTTCCTGCATATCTTACCAGGTCGTCACTCCATCTAGTGGGGGGTCGCCCTACACTACGCCTACCGGTACGAGGCTGCCACTCGAGAATCTTTCTTCCCCATCGGTTATCGGTTCTTCGAGCTATATGGCCGGCCCATTGCCACTTCAGCTTACTAATCCGTTGGGCTATGTCGGTCACTCTGGTTTTACTGCGGATATCCTCATTTCTGAGTCTATCACGCAGAGAAACTCCGAGCATAGCCGTCTCCATAGCTCGCTGAGCGACCTTGAGCGTCCTCATACGGCCAGCAGTGAGGGACCACGTCTCAGATCCGTAAGTCATCACTGGCAACACGCACTGGTTGTACAATCTAGTTTTTAGAGATTGAGGTATACCTGACGAGAAGATATGTCGTAATTTCCCGAACGCTGCCCAGCCGAGTTGAATCCGTCGATTGACCTCTCGGTCGAAATTGGACTTACCTAGTCGGACTATTTGTCCCAGGTAAACGTACTCGTCAACAACTTCGAGCATAGTGCTCCCAGTAACTACCGGCATAGGTGTGACATGGACATTAAACATAATCTTTGTTTTGTCCATGTTCATCTTAAGACGGATAGGCCGTTGGGAGGCACTATTGAGGTCACGGCTCACCTGATGTTAATTGACTACCGCAGCCCATGATCAACCGCAACACCAGGGGAATTGCAGGTGCGTTGCCAGCCCTTTAGAAAGGCCCTTTTCTTGAAGGTGCTCGTTTGTTACCCTCATTGTATACAATAATCGTTTTTTTTTCTTCAATATTTAGTATTCGCGTTGATACAAAAATGTTATAAGATATCATGGTAGTAAGGAAACAAGTTGGAAAAAATAGACAACCGATTTAAAATAAGTAACAATGATTTCTATTACGCGTTACGTTGTTCTAACCTTAGTTTCTAAAACTGTTAAAACAACTGTCAAAAAAAATTAAACAAGTTGTAATAAACGTCCATTTTTTATAGATTTTGAATTAATCAACCCGAAATCGATAATAAAGACCAACGTGAGCAGTGTCTTACTGAGAAATCTAAAGCTTTACCATAAATCTCGTATGAATTCATAATAAGACATAAACATCACCTCATCGCAATATGTCACATGTAACAAAGCGCTGCGGTAACGGTCCGCGTCGCTTGCCCTCCGCAACCCTGTTATTTACGATCTCCTGCCGAAGAAAGAGAACAAAAACTGCTTCGCTGTTAAATATTTGCCCGAGACAAGAGGGGGCGATAATTCGAGGCTATTATGACGTCATTTCACGCCTTTTGTACTGCCGTCACTCCGTGTCATCTGCTGCTTGAGACGCCTGCCTCGACTATCTCCCGATTATATCTATTGTGTCATTTTTTTCCAGTGCACGCGAGTCGGATGTGCCACCGACGATGAATTTGTCCCGTTCGCTTCTTCGCTCGACTTCGCTGTAAAAACGCTAGAGGAGCTTGCTTTATTGTCTCGGGGGCCTTTTACGATCTTGGTTTTGTGACGCTGTTATTGTTTGCGGTCGATAAACATCTCGCCACTAGGTAGGTAAGGATCATCATCACTTTTACCGGTGGTTTATTTAATAAGAGCTCTATCGAGTTTGTTTGTCAATTACTTTTGTCTTGAATGGTCTTTTCAGACATTGCCTGGCTTTAAAATGGAATTAATGAATAGGGATTTGTCAATGCTGACTAAAAATTTTGCGGCGAAGTCGACATCTGTTTTTAAACAAGATCCGAAGTTGGTAGCGGCTATTGACAAACTATACAGTAAAAACGAGGTGAAAAATTTGAATAGTAAAATATTGCTTCCAGAGAGAAAATTGAATTTCTTAGAAGTTCAAGAAATTTTGTATCATTCTACAAAAGGCAAAGGTACTGTACAATTTCATGATGGAATCTCAGATAGGTATAATATTTTATTTCTTAATTCTATTTCCCGTTAGTATTTTTATGTTCTTTTATAAACGAAAACTATTTTTAAAAATTTAGTTCGCGAACGAAAGATAACATTAAAATCGAGACGGTAGAAAAGCTGTACTTCACAAATGCTACAGTTTTTACATAAAGATTGTCTTTAAATAAAACTTTTATCAAGTGTTTAAAATACTCAATTCAAGAAATATGTACTAGATAGAAAAAGATAGCTTTATATGGTAGAGCTTAAAACAAAGCGGATAATTTTGAACTTTCTACACTGAGCTGCTTGCTACAAAACTAAGCGAATCGTGGTCCAATTATGGCACAAGAATTTTTATACTATAATCATTTACTGATCTGTTAGACATTCTGGTTTCTTAATTTTTTTGAGTGATCGCCAGTAAGTATTTCTTTATTATACAGACATAATGTTATACTCGTAAACATATTTACAGAACAAGGTGCGAGTACCTTTCTCCAAGAGAAAAATAAGATAAGAAAATCATTGATTAAGAATGTAGAAGACGTTCTTCGAAAAATTAATAATTCTGCTGAAAATGGCGACACCCCAATGTTGGTAATTAGGAATCAGCGGTTATGGAGCAATTGCGTTTACGATTTGGATAGGTATAGGATGAATAATAACATAGTATACGTTAAATAAAATTGAATCATATTTAGAAATAAAAAGGATTTTCTTCCTTTTTTAATTTCTAGGGTCACGTTAAAGTCTTTTGTGGATGCAAAGAAGACAACACTAAGTTACTCGAACCGCGAACATAAGACGAGATTCAATGCAATAGTTTTTGTTTTGACGAAGGTTCATGAACTGCTTTCAAAAAATCTATGTGTGACTAGAAGGTACGTTAAATTCACCAGATCTCCATCTCCACAGCCCATCAAAGTCGATTGGAGAACATAAGCCTCGCCGACGATTTTCTCATAAGGGGCATAGTTTTCATAGTTACCACGAGGGTTGGCGACGGCATATTTTTTCTAGTTGTTATTACGTAGACATTGTTGCACAAGCAAGATATTAATGCTAATATCTTATTAATCGACTTTCCGTATTTAAATTCCACATCTGAACAAATGCCTCCAAATCCATTTTCTGAGGGAATTTTTGAGCAAGGCAAATTCCACAAAATACAACATAATTAAGGGTAATATACTAGAAATTTTTATTATTGTTTTATGTGGTAAAGCCATGCTGCAGTTATATTAGTAGTGTAGAGTTGTAGCACGAATGGGTCGACTCGACCGGGGAAGGACCACGCTCTCACAGAATACCAGCGTCAAATAGCAGCTCAATGCTGCTGTGTTTCCTATGGTGAGTCTAGAGAACCAGAGACCCTTTTTACTGGAAACGAGGCATTCCATCTTAGTCCTCACGGGTGACAACGCATCAGCATTTTGATTTGTAATCGTGGATAATGTAGATATCTATGGGCCGCAGCAACCACTTACCATCAGGTGGACTGTGTGCTCGTTTGTCTCTATCCTATAAAAAAATGGCTGCATATATATTGGTTCGCCTCTACTGGGGTATGACAATGCTGCCAAAGAATATCAGCATTAAATATAAGCATTAAAAGTGCTGCAGTGGTTCGTATTTTTACCCTTCTACGGGTAATGTTATTCTTCTTTGTTCTAACGGGTTAAGACGCATTTTTATATGTAGAATAAGGGTGACAAACGAGCACATAGTCATAATAAGTGAATACTGTGGTTCATAGACACCTACATCTATCTTCTTTTAAGAATCAGAATGCAGATCTCTTCAGGGCTAAGATGAAATGCCTCATTTCCATTAGTAAGGGTCTCCGGTTCTCTGCACTCACCATATGAAACACAGCAGCAGCATTAAGCCGCTACTTTGCGCTTCCTTGGTCGAGCCGGCTTTATTCATTCTACAACCAGCGAGGCTCCACCTCACACACACACATATATGTATATATATATATATATATATATATATATATATATATATATATATATATATATTTTTTTTTTTTATGTTTAAAAATTTTTTTTTTTTTTTTTTTTAAAATTATCCTGTAGTATGAATCTACCCCGCATCTACATTTTGTACCTTAATCGAGGATAGTAGAAGTAGGTGTCTATGGGTCACAACATCGAATAGCCATCAGATGGAGTATGTGCCCGTTTGTCAACAACTTGTATAAAAGACCTTGGTTGATAAATCACTATAAAATTATTTACCTTTGAATAGAGAGCTCTTCTATCAAAATGTCACAAGATTTCGTAACCAGTCTAACTTAGATGAGGCAGTAAGAGATGTATGCTGCCTTTTACAAACACCCCCTTGGAATCTAGGAATAATCGCAACAGCCAAAGGATTAATTGCTGGCTCAATTAAATTACACATGAAAGATGGTTCCTGTATCGACTGCTTCGGCGCTGGAGGTAAGTCTCTAAACCTGTAAAAATAACGTAGCATCTAATTTAAAAACTCTTTGGTACATGATATTGTAACGTGATTGTATAGCCCCTGCTAGTGATAATGTAATACATTAAGTATTTTAAATTTTATCAAATCATGATACCATTACCGTTTACATTAACGGTGTGAGAATATCCACTACCCCATATCATCCCGTGGGTGTTGTGAGAGGCGACAGAGGGAAATATATCAATAGGCAGTAGCGTCTTCGTATTAACAATTAAAAATAAGAAACTACGGTTACCAATATGGCAATTATTCCCCCCCATGTGACAATCTATGGGGGAGGCCCATGTTTAGCAGTTGACTTTAATATGCTGTAACGGTAACGGTAAATTTTTGTCAAAGAAAAAGTTATTTCCTAATTTAAATTTAAATATTACTTAGAGAAACATTTATTTTACTTTCATATGATTACGAGTGAGTTATGGTAGTTAAAAATCTATTGTAGGAACCCTCATACCGCAAGATGTTGAAGGCATTAAAGAATTTCGTTCAACTGCAAAATATATTTTAGTCGTGGAAAAAGATGCTGTCTTTCAGAAGTTGTTAGACGAAGGGGCGTTAGTGAGACTGGGACCTCTGATAATTCTAACCGTATGTTCTATTTTAATTTATTCTAATATGCGATGATGTACGTACTTTAAATAGTGACTACTTGTATTATTTTCGCAAGTATCACCTAAAATGGTGGCCGCGTAAGAGAATGCTATATTGGGTAGGTATTGCAACATTCTACAAGAAGAAAGGTCAAAGGAGGTACTGTTGAAGGCCGTGGCCTATAAGTCAGTTATTGAATTGACAGACTGGTTAAAAGGGCAGCGTCACAAGTGCAAAATATCGGGAAATGATCTAAAATCCTCCTAAAGTGCTGGTAAAGAGTGTGATGAAGTGTACTAAAACACTAAAGCACTTTTTTATAGAATATGATGACAAACGAGCACTCAGTACACGTGATGATAAGTGGATGCTGTGACCCATAGACATCTATCAGATGTGTTTCCACCCGTAAAGACTAATATGGAATGCCTTGTTTCTAGTAAAAAGTAAAGGGTATCTGGTTCTCTACACTAATCATACGAAACACAGCAGCATTGAGTTTGGTATTCCGTGACAGCGTGGTCCTACCCCGCAGTTGCAGCGTGGCTATACCACGTAGAAAGCACTATTTTGTCCACGTCTTTTTGTCCGATGTGATACTTCTATGACAATAACACCTTTGATGTGTGAATCTGTTCACGCCAAGTATTAGGCCCACTATTAGTTCGGTATCGGGAGTCGCCGTAGCTAAATATGGGAAACTTAATAAATTTACGTGAGTTTAGCTCACGATTCAACTATATATAAGCCGGAGCTGCAAACCGGTTCACAGATCAGCAAATAAAAAAAACTTGAAACTTTATGGGAACTAGACTTTTCAAATCTAAATTATGTATTCACATTTTTGGGATTTTCATTATAGTTTTATTTCATTATAGTAATTGATAATATTTATAAGTTACAAAGAAATAGCACTGAAATATATCCTTTCTTTTTACTGTGACAGCAGTACTGACAGTAAACTGAAATATAGCATCGTATAAGGTGGTATAAGGTGTTACGACCAAATCTGACGTGTAAGTATATCTCAGCTGCTGTTCGAGTTTTGTTAGAGGTAACCATTTATAGCTTACCAGATACTTGCATTTGTTTTTGCGATTACGAGTGCCATTGTATAATTTGTTATGAATGGAGTTCATTGCGGTGTATCTACACATTTTTTTCAGCATCTCAATGCAGGTGCTAGCATCTCTGATGTACGCATTATAATTTCTTTCACTTTTATGGTATTGCTTTATTAATTTATTTTCGCGACTAAAAACTAAATTTAAAATAATACTTAAGTCAGCAGCCTATTTACGTTTTACAGCTGTTCAAAGGCTCCTCTAATTTCTAAGACGATTATGGAACAATCCTAGACTTAGCATGTCAAATAAAATTTTGATTATCAGAGATTCAGGTTTCTTTACGATGTTTTTCTGCTCCTCTAAGCACGTGGTACATCACAACTTGACTGCCTTGACGGTCAAGTGGACGGAACCGCGACCGCTTGTTATGTGGTTTCGAGTCCGAATCCCTGGTCAGGTCGATATTAGTTATTCAGTTTTTCTATCAAGAAATTTTCACTAGTTGTCCGGAGTCAGTTGGTGGCGTTTCACGAGAATTCAATGGCTCGGAAAGCGTGTAAAGCCGGTGGTCCTGCGCCTGATTTCTTACCGGTCCTGCCACAGAAATCGTAATAATTTATTACTATATCTGTGGATAAACACACTCGTAAATTATAAATACCATATCCTGTACAGATATATGGTCTCCATTGAGACTGCCTGCGTCTGTGACTGAAATTCGATCAGGACGACATTTTTAAAATATCACTTAAATTTGCTCGATTGCCAATAAACTTAGGCCCTTGGCCTTTGATATGCCTGGTATGGCAAAATTTTATTTATGTTTAATTTTTTAAGACACTCTTAATTTAGAGTGTATTGCCGTGGTCCCGTGGCTGTCGCAAGAGATGACTATGTGAATGTATTTATATAATAGGTTGTGGCTTCCGATAAATGGCAGTATAACCATCTTATTTAGGCTATACGTTAGATATCCAGACTAGTGACGAGAAGCAGCGTCTAAAGTGCGAGACGTCTATTGCTGCGATCTTCAATCCTTCTGCCAAGGATGACGATAAAAGCAAATCCAAAAATTTGCAGTTTTATACGCCTGTGTTTCGTATGGTAACTGTAGAGTATTCCGTTTTAGTCCTCAGGGGTGACAACGCATCTGCATTTTGATTCTTAATCGAAGATAGATGTAAATGTCTATGGACCACAGCATCCACTTACCATTAGGCGGACTGTGTGCTGGTTTGTCAACCTTATTATATAAAAAAATTCTACCTAAAATGGGAGAGGCCCATGTCCAGCAATGGACTGTTACATGCTGATAGTGATGATAAAGAAGAAGACAGTTTGGGCTAAAGTACCCACAGTTCATTAAAAAAAATAATTAGAAGAATCTGTACTTAGTAAAAACAATTCTAAAAGAACACCACTAATTTCTTTATTTCTTCTATACAACCGATCAAAACTACACTCCTGAACATAAGCCTGCCCCATAAAGTACCTCATAGGGAGGGCTTTCCACGTTGCCACGCATAGCTGGCGGGTTGTTATTTGTTTCAGTTGTTATTACCTCTTGTCTCAGTTTCCCTTACGACACCTATGGGATGATTGATAATTCAGTATTATTTTGAGATCCTGGTGATCCGTAACATAGGCATTTTTACGTGGTAGAGCCATGCTGCAGTTATATTAGTAGTATAGTTGTGGCACGAATGGGTTGGCTCGACCGGGGAAGGACCACGCTCTCACAGAACACCAGCGTAAAATAGTAGCTCAATGCTGCTGTGTTTCGTATGGTGAGTGTAGAGAACCGGAGATTATTTTTACTGGAAACGAGGCATTCCATGTTAGTCCTCATGGGTGACAACGCATCCTCATTTTGATTCGTAATCGAGGATAAATGTAGACGCCTATGGGCCACAGCAACCACCTACCATCAGGTGGACTGTGTGCTCGTTTGTCAGCCTATCCTATATTAAAAAAGGCTTCCGCCTTGTACAGACACCAGACTATCTGCTCATAGTCTTATAAATATTGCCTATACTGTAAACCTAAATTGTGAGGGTAAATATATTATTATTATTAAATGTTTCTATGTTGTATATATTTCAATATCTGAATAAATGTATAAAATATTGTTTTTAGTATATGAAACAAGTGTGTTAAACCTTTTAACTACCACTTCTAACCAACACTCCGCAGGGCAAAGGGTATCCGGATGTCTGCACTCGTCAACTACTGTGTCGGCTCGTGAATGAATTACGGCTGAGGGCGCTGGCGCTAGTCGACGCTGATCCGCATGGATATGAGATTTTTCTCACTTACAAATATGGTTCGCTGGTAAAGATCATGATTGAAAAATTATCGTTTATTTATATTAAAAAGATTCGATTTTAAAATGTTTCTGGAGGCGAGTCCGTCTAGACGAGAAACTGCACAAATATAGAGTTGCGTTTTTTTATATAGTATAAGGGAGACAATACACAGGTATATATTTTGTATACTTATATAACATTGACCGACAACTACCACGTTGTCTCATTTCAATTACTTTCATATTTATTTTATTAAACTCTAATGAGAAAGTCATCAAACTCTTCAATTTGTAAAGGTAAAGTACACGACATATTATAGGCGAAAAATTTTATGATTTCTTTGAATATTATTTTTAGTTCTTTGATGTAGGTACAAACCTACTTTATTTAAAAATTTAATTATATATTTACGCGTTTTCGGAATAGAAAAATCTTATAAACAGCCGTGTCACTTCAGTAATCAAAATTGCACTTAAAAATTTCAGTTACATCGACATTGAGGTTTGGCCTTAGCTTCTATAAAATCGTACGCTCAGCTCCTTATCTACCACGGATGTAAAAGTCCATTTTATTTTATAGCATTGGGTGACAAACGAGTAGGTACACAGTCCACCTGATGGTAAGCGAATTCTGTGGCCCATAGACATCCACATTTATTTTCAATTAAGAATCAAATGCAGTTGATGATGAAATGGACAGATGGAATGCCTCGAATGCAATAAAAAGGGTCACCGGTTCTCTACACTCATCATACGAAACACAGCGGAATTAATCTGCTGTTTTAAGCTGGTATTCTGTGAGAGCGTGGTCCTGCTTCGGTCGAGCCGACCTATTCGTTCTACAACCATAATATAGCTGCAGCGTGGCTCTACCACGTAAAAATACCGCTTCTGGATATTAGCCTTACCGCTTGCATGAAGAGCGGCTTTGTCTTTTTAGTCACACTTGGCTTAGCGTATTGACGGTATTAGTACCAGACGTTCCGCATCTTTAATGCTGCCTTGACTTAGGAAAATTTGAACTACATTATAAAATTATCAATTGACAATTGATTCGATAGATAGACTCGATTGAAGCTATAGATCACAATGTTGTTACAACCTTTGTTTACCACTGCCAGGTTCTTGTGTTTTATTCCTGTTTTTTTTTAAATCCTTTATTTTAAAAACTTGGAACCTTTTTAAACTGCCCAGTTATACAACCGTTATTAGAAATTATTCAAATTTAATGAAATGATATATAAAAAATACAGATATAGCCATAATAAAAAAATAGTTATTGAAAAATATAGATGTTGATACTGTCTCTCTCGGTTGTCTAGCTTGGTCAATCGGGCACACAAGAGATCGTTAAATCTCCATTCATTAAATTTCTTTCTGCTCGGCGATGAAATAAAACTTAAGTTTCATAAGTAAACTTAGTTTTCTTTCATAAAATATTTTTCAGTTATGCAACCATAAAAAAATCGAGGACGTGTAGACTAGGCATGTTTGATTATTTTTTATTAACATATATCGGAACAGCGTGGTGAAAACTTCCTTGCCTTAAAACGCTCTCAACAATGAGAGAAGGGATGTCTGTGCCCTACGTACTATGACGTATTTAGGTTGTTACTTTATTTTTTACTTTTATTAAAATTCTAAAATTGTTGACTTGTATTCCAGGCTCAATCTCACCTTTCACAATCGTTGGCTTGTAGTTCTCTGCAATTATTGGGAGCTAGGCACGGTGACGTCATGACCCTTGCAACTAAAGAGTCACGTCTGGCTCTTACATCTCGCGACAAGAGGAAAATAGTCAATTTAATGAAGAGGCCCTATCTCAATACGGCTACGGGTTAGTTTACTCGTTGTCCTTACGCCCGTCACCATCCGGACCGGTGACGTGTTTATTAGTAAACTGTACTAATAAACACGTCACCGGTCCAAAACAAATACGTCTCAAATATACAAGAATTTCTTTGTTATATAGCTATTTATCGGATCTTTCGATATTTCCAAGAATCCTCTCTTACCACAGAACGAAATGTGGTAGTGGATTCTCTAAAGTCCCCAAACGGCACTGTTTTTTTTTTTAATTTGGATGTTTAGTACTGAAACGCTATTTCATTTTATTACAATAAACACGTTTACTATGATGGTCCTCTACCCTCCATAGCGCAAACATAACGGCAACTTACTACATATTCTTCATCTCAATTTCATCATCACATTCAATAAGGTAAAAGGAAAATTGCATTTTTATAGAATGAGAGTGACAAACGAGCACAGAGTCCACCTGATGGTAAGTGGATGCTGTGGCTCATAGATATACATCAATCTAAATGCAGATGCGTCGTCACTCCTGAGAATCAAGATGGAATGCCTCGTTTTCAGTGAAAAGGGTTTCTGGTTCTCTACACTCACCGTACATTATACGTTCGTATTCCATAAGAGCGTAGTCCTACCCGGCCGAGCGGGCCCATTCGTGGTGCTACAGCTAATATAGCTTCAGTGTGGCTCTACCACGTATAAATAATGCATCAAAATTTGTCAGAATTGCGTTTACAATAAATTAAACCCGAAAACGTTTATATTTATAATTGGATAATATTAAAAATAAAAACTGTATGCGTGAAAATGAAATGTAGCCCATAGTCACTTACCTACCTCAACGCTCGATTAGGAATAAAAATGTAGATGTTTTGTCACCCCTGAGGACTAAGGCAGAATGTCACCAGTAAAAAGGGTTCTCTATCCACACAATACGAAGCATAGCCTAAGTGCTATTTTACGGTGGTACTCTGTAAGAGTGTGGTCACTCCAAATTAATATGCAGGCAGCGTGGCTCTACCATGTAAAAAGTGAAACACTTATTTGTGTTTTTTACATGGATTGAATTAATTAATTATATACAGAAAAATACACAATAATCTCTTACTCTCTGAAATGCTTCGTTAAAACTGAAAAGGTTTTCGTGACATATGAAACAAAAGCATTTACGCTGGTTTTCCGTGCAAGAACAGTCCTTCCCCGAGCGATCCGAACAGTTCTTCGTACAGCCATCATACTCTACCGTGTCACTATGTTTTCGATCACGGGTAAAAATCCGTATTCTTTTCTAAAATTTTATTAATTTTTAAAATAAATCAAAATATTCAGGTTATTTGATTCTAGTCGGTAAGCAAAATGTAACCCCCATTAGATGTAGTAGACTTGGTAAGAGAGGCAGGAAGTCAACGGCTGCAGAGAAGCTTATGTTCATCAGTAGACTTGTGATGGGTTGTGAAGATGATGATGACGATTAACTCTACACTATTAGTTTATCATGAGCTCAAGCTTTGATGGTATAATAATAGAGCTTCTTTACTTATTTATAGTTTAAGTTCATCATCCATCATTCTAAATTGCACTCCTTAAGTTTCATAGAATTTGCCCTCCATGATTGTCTCGTGTTATGTATAATATCTACGATTTTTCAATGGTTAGTAGTTACCAAATATTGAAAAATATTATACATAGATACCCGTGGCCAGTATAGAACAGTCATCATTTCTGTTATTAAAATAATTGAGTAAACTAGCGATCCGCCCCGGGTTCGCGCGGGTGATTTCTGGATCTCGACAACAGCGCCATCTACCGGGTCCAAATATGAATATAAACCATAAACGATCATTCAAACACACACAAAAAATTTCATCAAATTCAGTTGAATGATTTAAAAGTCTATAACAGACATAGGTAGAAACATTTTTTTTTGTATTTATTATAGATAGATCTAATAACAGGTTCTATCATAAGAAAAGACCTGGAAGACATGTTGAAGAGTGGAGTAAAAGCTGAGATCGAGGCTTTGTCCCCTACAGCCGCGGCTCTCTGCGATTCTTATCTACCCTCCAAAATTATTCAAGCAGATTACTTGGGATAATTCTTGTCACCTCATATTCTGCGACTTTTAAAATAAATTTTATCAAGACATAATTTAAAAAAAGCATTGTTTGCTTTTAATATACCCAATGAAAAAAAATACAAATGTTTCAAAGTACTTTTGATAAAACACTACTTATGTGTTAAGGATTTAATTGAACATATTGAAATAAGGTCATTTTTATTTTTGATTTTGTTATTATTAAAGTTTATTTCAATAACGAATGGATGTACACAGCATTTTGATTGCGTAGAGTTTGAAGCGCCATCTAGTAAAATTTGTTTAATAACAGGTTATTTTAAATATCGCCATCTGGTACAGTATATTACAAACTTACAAAGTGAGCTTGTTATTAAAATGTTTAAGGTAATGCTTTTTTTGCGTAGTTTGTTCGTACCTTTGGTAGTACAAGTAAGCTAGGTCGTCGAAGACTGCGTTTACAAATTTGTGATTTTTTTACAAAAGGCAAGTTGGTATATGAATGGTTTTATCTAGTATTTTCTTATTTTAGTATTTATTAGTTATTATTATTTTAGTAGTAGTTAATGTAGTTCTTGAAATTTCAAAAGTTTTGTTTCTTTGAAAATTTTAGAAGTTGCTGTTAAATAGGGATAGTGAAAAAGTATATTTATGATTTTATTTTGTATTCTTTGAAGTTGCTGTAACTTAGTTTTAGCAGCATTACCCCAAATTTCTATAAGATAAAGTAAATGCGATTTAACTAATGATTTATAAATAGTGGTATAGTAGTATAATTAGTGTAGAGAACCAGATACCCTTTACTTTTTACTAGAAACGAGGCATTCCATATTAGTATTTACGGGTGGAAACACATCTGATAGATGTCTATGGGTCACAGCATCTACTCATCATCACGTGTACTGAGTGCTCGTTTGTCATCATATTCTATAAAAAAGTGCTTTAGTGTTTTAGTACACTTCATCACACTCTTTACCAGCACTTTAGGAGGATTTTAGATCATTTTCCGATATTTTGCACTTGTGACGCTGCCCTTTTAACCAGCCTGTCAATTCAATAACTGACTTATAGGCCACGGCCTTCAACAGTACCTCCTTTGACCTTTCTTCTTGTAGAATGTTGCAATACCTACCCAATATAGCATTCTCTTACGCGGCCACCATTTTAACTTATTTTAACTTTAATTTACGAGTGTGTTTATCCACAGAAATAGTAATAAATTATTACGATTTCTGTGGCAGGACCGGTAAGAAATCAGGCGCAGGACCACTGGCTTTACACGCTTTCCGAGCCATTGAATTGTCGTGAAACGCCACCAACTGACTTCGGACAACTAGTGAAAATTTCTTGATAGAAAAACTGAATAACTAATATCGACCTGACCAGGGATTCGGACTCGAAACCACATAACAAGCGGTCGCGGTTCCGTCCATTTGACCGTCAAGGCAGTCAAGTTGTGATGTACCACGTGCTTAGAGGAGCAGAAAAACATCGTGAAGAAACCTGAATCTCTGATAATCAAAATTTTATTTGACATGCTAAGTCTAGGATTGTTCCATAATCGTCTTAGAAATTAGAGGAGCCTTTGAACAGCTGTAAAACGTAAATAGGCTGCTGACTTAAGTATTATTTTAAATTTAGTTTTTAGTCGCGAAAATGAATTAATAAAGCAATACCATAAAAGTGAAAGAAATTATAATGCGTACATCAGAGATGCTAGCACCTGCATTGAGATGCTGAAAAAAATGTGTAGATACACCGCAATGAACTCCATTCATAACAAATTATACAATGGCACTCGCAATCGCAAAAACAAATGCAAGTATCTGGTAATATTAGGAATAAAAATGTAGATGTTTTGTCACCCATGAGGACTAAGGCAGAATGTCACCAGTAAAAAGGGTTCTCTATCCACACAATACGAAGCATAGCCTTAAGCTGCTATTTTACGGTGGTACTCTGTAAGAGTGTGGTCACTCCCAAATTAATATCCAGGCAGCGTGGCTCTACCATGTAAAAAGTGAAATACTTATTTGTGTTTTTTACATGGATTGAATTAATTAATTATATACAGAAAAATACACAATAATCTCTTACTCTCTGAAATGCTTCGTTAAAACTGAAAAGGTTTTCGTGACATATGAAACAAAAGCATTTACGCTGGTATTCCGTGCAAGAACAGTCCTTCCCCGAGCGATCCGAACAATTCTTCGCACAGCCATCATACTCTACCGTGTCACTATGTTTTCGATCACGGGTAAAAATCCGTATTCTTTTCTAAAATTTTATTAATTTTTAAAATAAATCAAAATATTCAGGTTATTTGATTCTAGTCGGTAAGCAAAATGTAACCCCCATTAGATGTAGTAGACTTGGTAAGAGAGGCAGGAAATCAACGGCTGCAGAGAAGCTTATGTTCATCAGTAGACTTGTGATGGGTTGTGAAGATGATGATGACGATTAACTCTACGCTATTAGTTTATCATGAGCTCAAGCTTTGATGGTATAATAATAGAGCTTCTTTACTTATTTATAGTTTAAGTTCATCATCCATCATTCTAAATTGCACTCCTTAAGTTTCATAGAATTTGCCCTTCATGATTGTCTCGTGTTATGTATAATATCTACGATTTTTCAATGGTTAGTAGTTACCAAATATTGAAAAATATTATACATAGATACCCGTGGCCAGTATAGAACAGTCATCATTTCTGTTATTAAAATAATTGAGTAAACTAGCGATCCGCCCCGGGTTCGCGCGGGTGATTTCTGGATCTCGACAACAGCGCCACCTACCGGGTCCAAATATGAATATAAACCATAAACGATCATTCAAACACACACAAAAAATTTCATCAAATTCAGTTGAATGATTTAAAAGTCTATAACAGACATAGGTAGAAACATTTTTTTTTGTATTTATTATAGATAGATCTAATAACAGGTTCTATCATAAGAAAAGACCTGGAAGACATGTTGAAGAGTGGAGTAAAAGCTGAGATCGAGGCGTTGTCCCCTACAGCCGCGGCTCTCTGCGATTCTTATCTACCCTCCAAAATTATTCAAGCCGACTACTTGGGATAATTCTTGTCACCTCATATTCTGTGAGTTTTAAAATAAATTTTATCAAGACATAATTTAAAAAAAAAGCATTGTTTGCTTTTAATATACCCAATGAAAAAAAATACAAATGTTTCAAAGTACTTTTGATAATACACTGATTTAACTTGAAATAAGGTCATTTTTATTTTTGGTTTTGTTATTATTAAAGTTTATTTCAATAACGAATGGATGTACACAGCATTTTGATTGCGTAGAGTTTGAAGCGCCATCTAGTAAAATTTGTTTAATAACAGGTTATTTTAAATATCGCCATCTGGTACAGTATATTACAAACTTACAAAGTGAGCTTGTTATTAAAATGTTTAATAACACGTTATTTTAAATAGCGCCATCTAGTACAGTATATTATAAATTTACTGCTTATGCTATTAGCTTGTTTTGAAAAATTAGTTCTTACGCAACAACAGAGATAGCGCTTTAAGCAAATATCCTTAACAAAAAAGTTTAAACGTAAATTTTGCATCCAAAGAAGAAGGCTAAACCAAAAATGTTTAAATATAATTTTAACAATTAAATTAATTGACAATTTCAATAATAAGAATGTGTTTTATTTGTATTCCTTATCACTCTTATAAGTCGACAACTGAATGTGAATCTTTCTCGTTCAAGAGAGAATTTTCTTTATTCGTCATGCAAGGCCAAAGATGTTATAATATACTTCGTATAGAACAAAATATCTTTGTGCAAGGCAGGCGGATAGATAATAGCAGTACCAGACCAACCAGACCACTGACTTAGAAGTACTATGAATCAGACACCCCGCATGTATGACGTTTCTGCATTTCCGAATACCTAATATCTACCTCTATGTTTCTCTCCTCGGGTCTTGTTATTTTACGCCAGGTGTAAACGGATAGATGGTTATAGCGCCATCTATCGGAAGCCATAATATTTTTCTACAATGAAGATTTCCACCTTTTACTTATTAACTTATTATTTGCTCTTCACAGTAGCCTATTCGAAGTACCTACAAAATATTGGGGAGGGTGTTGTTCATGTACCTAATGACCATGTTACAAGTAACATTTACAAAAATGAATTATGAATAAACATGAAAAAAAAAAAACGAATATATCATCAATTATAATTTTACTTATATACCTTTATAGAATTTGTAAGTATATTAAATTATATTGTAAAGTCTATTAAATGTACTTATATGTATAAGAAATGCTTGACAGTTTTTAATTAAATTTAGCCTAAATGTCTGTTACGTCGTGGAAACTAGCTTCTAACTCTTTATTTTTATAATAGTAGACTTGTCTATGCAGACAAGAGTCTACTGTTATAAAAGGTATCCTTGGTATGCATATGTATGACAATACATTAACATAACCTTTAAAATTTATGTAAGGAAAATGTTATATCTAAAAGTATTTATCTCATTTTCTCTGTTTCCGTGCTTACACATAATCTTTAAAGGTTTAAAAAATGGCAACAGAAGAAAGCATTATAATGTTTTAAGTCAACATAAACTAAGTAACTAATAGCGATAAGGAAATTTAATATTTCAGATATTTATTTTTATTGTGATTGGTTATCTTGTTGCGTATTGATTGGGAAAGATTGCAATACCTAAACTGTCGCAGGTGAAACCTAAGCCGGTGTATCGCGAATGTTGCCAGCGACCTTAAGGTGGACCGCGTTGCTCCAGGTGTATGTGAGCCTCCTCCATATTTTCTTTACAATCAAATGCAGCTCCGCTTACAGATTAGCATTTAACTTCAAAAAGCTCCGTGTCCAGCAATTACTCACAAATTTGGGTATGAAATCCAGCCCAAGTAATACTTACCACTTAAAAATATTTATTACAATAAAAAAAACTAAAAACTTAAATTACATCTCAAAGACTTCAAGATCGCAATGAGCATCCTGCGTATAGTAAAAATTATTTAATCTTTTTCCAATCTCCACAGTATGAACTTATAGTATCTTGAAGTCTTGCTGTTGTATACTTTAGTTGGGATTTAATTTTATTAATTATAGAATCCCAAGCAGATGTTAGCATCCAGCCACCGTCTCTATTGAAATTAGGATGTTTTTTTTATTTCAATAGCCTCGCGAATCACACATATATACACGTCACTGGATATAGTTGTAGAATTTGATTGGAGCCCTTGTATAATCACGATGACAGATACTGAAATTGATGATTGACGATTGACGCTCGTAGTATTCGGAAGAAAGGCAAACTAGATGAACTTAAATGCAGCAAAAAATCAATATCAACAACTGTACATATTATTTTGCTTACAGAAACTTGGATACAGATCGAAAATCAAACTTAACAACTACAAATCACTAACTACACACTTTATTCCAACTACCTATAATAACCTTATTGAATCGACTTACCAAGACGGAAATAACTATTTATGGATAAAAATTCAAAAATTTGCACTAGATGTTGGCGTGGCTTATTATCCTGGACATACCAATTTCCAAAAATTTTTGGAAGAATACGACAAACAATTACAGCATCACAGGAGAGCAATAGTTTTCGGAGATTTCAACATTGACTTGTTGACAAAAACAATAAATTAAAACAGTACAAGCAAATAGTCAAAGAATCAGGATATAGATTACTCAACAAAATAAACCAAACCTATTGTACAAGAGACTCCACCACGAAGACATCGATCATAGACCATGTTAGCACTAACCTAAAAGGTGACCATTTCAATATTGTTATGATCAACTCACCTATGACAGACTATAAACAAATTTATGTACAATTAAACAGATTTAAACCACCAAAAAATACGTAAACGCTATGAAGCAATCAACTATAATAAACTATATATCTCGATAGAGTCACACGGATTTGAAGAAGACTTAAATTACAGTCAATTGGAAACTAAACTAAAACAATACGTTGAAGACAATAAAGTAATAAAAACCAAAATATTAAATCCACCACTAGAAGACTGGCTTAATAACAATATACTTACTGGCATTAGTCAAAGAAACTATTTGTGGATGCAATACAAAAATAATCGAGAAAATGAATCATTAGAAAAAGAGTTTAAGCTGAAGAGAGATACAGTGGCTAAGCAGATCCAATATACGAAAAATTCCTACTATTATAAACTATTTCAAAATTATACTAATAACCCAAAAAAAATGTGGCAACTTATAAACAATCTAGCAAACAATAAAATAAAACAAAGTTGTGCTTCTCCAAAACTTATTGTAGATTCCAAGGTAATCAATAACCCGGGGCTGCGGGCTGTTCGAAAGAGATACCGCGGCTCCGGAACGTAAGGGCACTGAAGGAACACGGATGGTTTTTAGTCAGTAAAAGTCTGACACTCCCTTACGCTCCACCCAGAGCGAAAGGCGTCATTAGATGATTTTCCATCCGCAAAAAAAAAAAAAGAAATAAAAAAAGGTAATCACACGCAGTCGAGATTTGTGAGATTTTTAACGAATATTTTTCAACTATTGGACCACAATTAGCGGATAAAATACCTAAGAAATATCATAGTAGCTCCACTTATCCTTTCTCTAAAACACAAACAGCTAATAGTAATGAACTTTCTACATTAGCCCCATGTACTGCTAGTGACATTCGTAAAATTATACAAAGCCTCGATTCGAATTCTAGTAGTGGCATAGACAGAATTAGCACAAAAGTAATAAAGTGCCTACAAAATTTGATAGCACATGACTTAGCTCAATGTTTCAATAAACTTATGATCGATGGAAAGTTTCCAGATACTATGAAGATTGCAAAGATAACACCAACCTATAAATCGGGACTTAAAACCGACCCAGGACTCTATCGTCCGATATCGGTATTGCCGGTCATCAAAAAGTCATACATAATCGTTTAGAAAATTACTTAAACTCTTTTAACTTTATATCAGAACGGCAATAAGGATTTCGAGCCAAAAGTAGCACCACTACCGCAACAATCGATGTAACAACGAAAATAAAAGATAGTATAGATAAACGGCAAGTGGCTTTAGGTGTATTTATCGATTTAAAAAAAGCCTTTGATACTATAAGTCACAAATTGCTATTAGAAAAACTTGAAAGCATCGGAATAAAAGGTAGTGCTCTTAAAATATCTAAATCATACCTATCAAATAGATCGCAAGTAGTGAAGCTGGATAATTTTCAAAGTAGTGCCTTACTTATCACGCATGGTGTGCCGCAGGGATATACTTGGGCCACTCCTATTTCTAGTCTATATTAACCAAATCGCAGAGCTAGGGTTACATGGTCATCTAACTTTGTATGCTGACGATACATGTCTATTTTATTTCGGATCTAAAATACATGATATTATCTTGCAAGCGCAAGAAGATCTAGAACAATTGTCTGAGTGGTTCCGATATAACTTGCTAACGGTAAACACTTCTAAAACATGTTACATAATTTTTAAAGCAAAGAACAAAACTATACCATTACATGACCCACTGACAAATGATAATAATAATAATAATAATTGGCACCGTCGACATCTGTCGAGCTTGTCGCCATCCCGGTGAGTCACTTAGGCATGTTATCTCCGGTTGTTCGGCGCTTTCTAACTCTGAGTACTTGCACAGGCACAACCTAGTAGCCAGAATTCTACACCAGGAGCTCGCTCTGAAATACGGTCTCGTGGATCGGAAATTGCCGTATTACAACTACTTGCCGGAAGCCGTGCTCGAAAATGATCGCGCCAGGCTCTATTGGGACCGGGCCATCATCACAGACAGGACTATTCTTGCGAATAAGCCTGATATTGTGCTGATAGACCGGGCACAGTCAAGGATATTTTTGGTCGACATTACCATTCCGTATGACGAGAACCTCGTGAAAGCCGAAACAGACAAGCAAACAAAATATCTGGACCTGGCTCACGAGGTGACCGACATGTGGGGTGGTCTGCCGACCGAAATTATTCCTGTAGTCGTCTCTGCAAACGGGCTAATCCCAGTCAGCCTCTCGGGTCATCTGAGGCTGGGACT